GGCACAGGACCGGGGTTTGACCCATGCGTGCCATGCCGGCCCTGCCCCCGGGGCACACTGAGATAGCAACTGAGACTGGGCATGGTGGTGTGTGCCTGTAATCCCAGCGCTTGGGAGGCTGAAGACAGGAGGATCACTATGAGTCCAATCTGTGTGGTGAGACCCTGTAGACCCTGTACCCGGACCCTCCCACCTCGCCACTTTGGTCTGAAACCGGCCAGCGGTGGGCTGAAACCTCTACAAAAGGTGAGCCCAAATCAGACTTTCTTCCCTTAAGTCGTGTCAGGTATTCTGTCCCAGAGCTGAGAAAGTGATTCACACAGTGTGAGAGTTAACTGTCGTGTTGGCCTCAATGAAAGCACCCAGCAGACTGGCCAAGTGCGCTGCTGGGAGTGACTGACTGGGGTGGTAGGTCCACCCACGCTAGAGGCACCACCCAGCCCACAGGCTTGTAGCCTGGATGGAAGAAAAGGGGAAAGAAGGAAGAGGTCTTGTTTCTTCTTTGTCAGAGGGGCTCTGGTCTTCACTGTCGTCTTTGGATGTCTATCTGCACACTTCCATGGTAGATTCTTCAGCCTTCCAGCCCAGGCTCTTCGGCTTCCTGACTCCACTCCCTTGGGGCTTTGCAGGGAGCGCCGGTTGACCCAAGAACAGTACAGTTGACCCAACTCAGCAGACTAAGCGTCCGCTCAGGCAAGCACAGGGACCAGGTTTCGATCCCTGGCTCCCACATGCCCCCCACCCCACTGCGCATGCTGAGTTGGCTATTGAAGCAGGAGGATCACTATGAGTCCAAGCTGTGTAGTGATACCCTCTACCAAATATGTATAAAAATAAATAAAATAAAAAACAGGTTAGTCTGTAGCAGCCACTCTGGGAATAATGGTTTGGGGTACAGCACACACCTACCACCTGTATCTGCTCAGAATATGGGAAGAGGGCAAGGGAAATAATGGAATTAATCACTTAAGTGGAAATTCATGTGTCTTACTTTGTTTTCTGTGGCTGTAACTGATTGCCACAGACTAGGTAACTGATGGAGTGAAGGTTTGTTCAGTTGATGATTCTGGAGGCTGGAACGCCCATGGTCAAGAGGCAGCATTTGGGACTCTCTCTGCAGAGTTCCAAGACAGAACAGCACGACTAGAAAAAAACAGGCTCACCAGCTGTGAGCTTTGTTCCTCTTCCTCAAAAGACATCCATGAAGCCAGACGTAGTGGTGCATACCAGTAAGCCCAGCACTTGGGAGGCTGAGGCAGGAAGATCAAAGTTCAAGCCCCACCTGGGAAAGTCACTGAGACCTTGCCTCAAAGGAAAAAGTAAAAGAGGGCTGGGGATGTAGCTTGGAGGGTCCTATCCCCACTAGTGCAAAAATAAAGAAAAGAAAATACATAAACAGGAATGAGTTAGATGTGGTGACATGCCTATAATCCCAGCACTTTGAAGGCTGAGGCAGGAGGATCTCAAGTTTGAAGCCAGCCTGAGTTACACAGGGATTTCTAAGTCAGCCTGATCTCCATAACCATACCTGTGTTGAAAAACCAAATCAAAACCAAAGAAAAAAGAAAAAGGGTGAGACCCTGAGACCCTTATTAAAATAAATAAAAAATTACCGCATTATAGTAGTCATATTTCTGGTTGCTGTATGTGTGCATTTTCTTTTTTCCCCCTGGTACCAGGGATCAAACTCAGGATGTTGTGCTTGCTAAGCAAGCCCTTATTCCACTGAGCTATCTTCCTAGTCCCCCCATGTGTGCACTTTCTCACATGTTCATTTACATAAACTGACATTCATGGTTTTGACATTCACTTCTACCTCCTATTTTAACTCAAGTTCTGGGAGGTGGACCTCATAATTTAGCCTTCAGGTAGAGGATACTGAGAATATGACTTCAATTCTGTGAACCTTCGGTCTCTAGGGAGGGAGAACTTCTTCCTTCAAGCTGTTAGGTAGAAATGTACACTTTTTTGGAGGGGGGGTACTGGGAATTGAACTCATGACCTCATACTTGCCAGGAAGAAGCTGTACCACCGAGCTATATCCCTGGCCCCTGCAGTGTAGACTTTCAACTATTTTGAGGCAACTGAAATGTGGATGGTAAGTACCCCGCACTTGAACCGTGCCAGTGAGCCATTTACCCACCCCGGCTTCCTCAAGAGCAGCTTTGGAGTACTGTGTAGGTTATTTTAAATATTTCTTGTTCTCTGACAAAACTAAACAAAAAAAGGGGATATAAATGAAGGACCATTTTGTATCTGTATATACAAAATAGTTAGGATAGATATACAGCTACTTTCTCTTAATTGAATGAGAAGATTTGCACTAATAGTGTTTGGACAGGATATCATGTCTGCATCTTGTACTATGAATAACTACTATGAAGACAACAATATTCAATGTATTAATTATTGAAACTGTCCTAATTGTTTTGAAACTCATTGCTATTTCTCAATACAGTTTAAAAAATAGCATAAATATACAGCTATTTTCTTAGTTCAATGAGGTTTTGAACTAATAGTGTTCAGACAAGATATCATGTCTGCATCTTGTACTAGGAATAACTATTACAAAGACAAGGGGCCAGGGACATGGCTTAGTAGAATAAGTGCTTGCCTGGCAAGCTCGAGGGGCTGAGTTCAATCCCTGGTTCTGAAAAAAAA